ACCTTTTCGCCACATGATGGACCAATGCGCTCGTGGCTACAGCTTCTTTGCCACCGAGAAGGGCTTGTTCGGCTTGGGCCCTCTTAGCGTGCAGGAAGGGGACGAGGTGTACGTGCTGAGGGGCGGCAAGATGCCATTCGTTCTCAGGGACAAGCGCAGTCAAGGAGAGTCAGGGCACGTTCTGATCGGCGAGAGCTATGTCCATGGCATCATGCACGGTGAAGAGTGTGAGCGGGAAGGATTTGCATGGGGTCGAGTTACGATCATCTAGGGAGTCGGGGGCTTTCACGCACGGACTTGGGGCCGTTTGCTCATGCTGCCTTGAGTTCTTCTGTTGCCTGGGTCTCCCTCTACATTCTGATGACTCCTTCAAGTTTCTCATTGGCTACTGTCGCTGGCGCATCAGCCCAAGCTCAGTGAAATACTCTGTTGTTGCCCAACGCCACATGTGTATCAAGACGAATATCGATGTTCCACCTTCACATGGAGTCTCTTGGTCAGAAGAGGGACGACTGATGTGGGGAAGGAAGCTTGCAGTGGTAAACAGAAGGCATGGCAAGTCTCAGGGTTAACAAAAATGAATAGGATAGTGGGCTGGCATCGGATCCCACTGTAAAGTTCCTAAAGTACACCTCTCTGCCATTGTCCTGGCCCACTCAGTCTGTATTTAAGGTAGCAACGCCGATGCTGCCGCTCCTCCACGTGGCGGGCGACCTCGCCTTGGCCTCTCCCTTGCCCCTGGCACTGTATTCGTCTCTGGGTTGTAGTCCCGAGACCTGGAGTCCAAGATCCAACCACGAAGACGGTTGCGGTATGACTCCCGTCTCAGTTCCGTCATTGGGTGATAGAGATCCCACAAACTTGCTCGACTGATTATGAGCTTGACGCAGTGATCTATGGCGGTCTGTGAAAACGGTCGCCGGTCGACGATGCGTGTGTCCCCGTCGGGTAAACAGGGAACCTCTCTTCTTGATCTTTAACGAACCGCGTGAATTTCTTCCTCTCCTTCCTGAGGATCTCGTCGCCCGGCGTTTTGCTGGCTGGTCGGCCGCCAGGTATGCGGCGAATTCGGCCCATTAGCATTAGGTCGTGGACATGTTCGAGCTTGATTCCGCATGCGCCGTGAAGGGCATTGTTGGTATTGCGAAAGTCATAGAAACCTTGGGGATCTCAACAGACTCGAGGACGCTCTGGATGGAGAGATTGTTTTCCCGGATGACATATTTGAAGCAGTCGAGGCCCATGAAGAGGACGTCAACGAGGAAGGTTGTCTTGATTTGGGCAACGTAGATCGTGAAGACAGAGATGGTGCCCATCGAGCCGCGTTCAATGCATGCACCGTGGAAACTAACGAACAAGGCCGGAGGTTCTTGAACGTGGCGAACACTATGGATGGCGGCCAGAAGAATGTTGATGCCATTGTCAGTTTTGATGAGGCGGTAGTCGATCCTGTTCGTGAGGGGAGGCTGGCGATTTTGTAAGTCTCTGTGGCCGACTGTGTCAGCTGGCAAAGGCTCGATGTTGGCTGTCGGAGAAGACGGGGTGGAGTCTGGGCTGTTCATGTTGCAATACTGTAGGCGAATTGAGTAAAAGAGTTGAAGCAAAGCTCACAGAGATGTTGGAGTCTGGCATCATTCGGCACGCAAGAGTGGGCTGCCACTCCTTTAAAGAGGTGCAAGCTGATTGCCTGAAGCGCAACATTTGTAAACTGCAAGTGCATCTGTCTACAAGGTTCAGGCGTTCTTGGCTGGGGTGTGCAACTGACAAGAACTTGGAAGAAATGGAAGGCGGGGTAGGATTGGTGTGCATGGCGACCCCCGAGTGGAATCTAATCGGTGATGGCTTTGTAGTTTTGGTTTAACCTTCCCGACATCATCCAATCCCTGGTGGCCCAGCTGGTTAAGGCGTCCGACTGTTAGCGCTTTTAAAGCGTCAGCATATCGGGAGATCGACAGTTCGATCCTGTCTCGGGGAGTATTCCATTTTTGTCAATTGACCAGGCTGAACGTGCTTTCCCACCACACACAAGCGGATCAATCTAAGATTGAGTCTGCTCTGCTGTTTATTCTAAGATAAGGTAGCTCTCCATTTTTGTTACTTGTAATGAAGCAGTGATTGTGCCTGTCCTTATCAGATATGCCGCTACGGAGAAATACGTGAGCTGAACGCCAGCCGCAATGGCTTGAAGACTGTTCCCCACCTCAGGCGGACAACCCCTCCATGAACTCAGGCTTTGGCTTGGTCGTCCTGTTCCTGCAAAAGCAATGTCTCAGGCGGTCAGCGCAAGGACTTGACAACTCCGCAACCAAGGCATCTGGTGATTGGGCTCGTGGAAGCCGCCAGTCAACTCCAGCTGCTCGTTGGCTGGGCTAAGGTGGTATTCGGCCAGCCACACTGATGCCAATCCCCTTGGCGGCTCTATGGGGAAGGTCAAGAGAGCACGCGATCGGATAAGGGGCGACTGCCGGGGAACCCGGCCTTTGCTCTCGACCACACAGAGGTCCAGAGCGCATCTCCTCCTTTTTCAGGTTGTGATTCGTTCAGGAGCAACTGCTTGACTGTCAGCATGGCGTCAAGCCTCGAGAGAGCACGGTCGAGACGCGGCAGGTTGCATCGGCGGACCGCGGAACAATCTCGAGGATCTGCGTGGCGAAACCCCCACACCAGCGCCATTCGCCCCCGATGGCGGCGGCAATTCAGCCACCACAACGACCTGATGGCAGAAAACCGCTCAGGAGACGGGTGGTGGCCCCGAATTAGGCATGTGGTAGACGGAGCATCATGTCGTTGCATGCGCGCTGATTGAGGCAGCTGCCGCGGTCGAAAGGGGAGGATTGGGCGTGTGGGTTCAAGGTTGGGAAGCCAGAGGCCTGTTGTTGAGTCAGGCTGGCGGTCCAGATGGGCCCTGCACGGCAGCCAAGAGTGCCGTCGGGGGCATGGACCCTGATTGGCACCGGGAGAAAGCCATCTCTGGGGTCCCGGCCGCGACTAGCAGGGGACGGGATGCGCAGTGCCGGCGGCAGTGGGCAAGGGGGCCCGCCGGCTACATCGGTCATCGGTGGTTGTCCCTGGCCTGCATGTGAAGCTTGGTGGAAGCTTGAACGATTGCGGAATGTGGGAGAGCGGCACATTGTGCCGAGCGGCTCCAGATGGTGGGCTGGTGGGTGTCGAGGATGTCACCAGGGCAGATAAGAGGGGTGGTATACAGAACAGGGTGGTATTGATGGTGATCCGTTAACCACCTACCGAAAAGAGAATTCTTGGTACGATGAGAGCATTTCGAGAGGTTCATACAACATGGCGATGCCAAGAACAGCGTGGGTATAAAGGGGCCGTCGGCAGGTTGTTGGACAACGTCTTCTCACCACCTCACGATCTTTATCCACAGCCCCTGAATCCTCCTTGACAGTTCCTCTGGCATCATGTTCGCTCAGCCTATCCTCGTCTCCGTCCTCCTCGCCCTGGGCGCCTCTGCCCAGAGGTTCGGCTGCGGAACCGCCGAACCCGACGCGGAGCACATTGGCATGTCCAAGGTCCTCGCCGCGCAGGAGGCTCGCCAGGACTTCAACCTCACCGAGCGTGCTACCATCAACGTCGGCGTCTACTTCCACGTTGTGGCTTCCGCTCAGACCGCTGCCGGCGGCTGGGTCACCGTGAGTTCTGCCTTGATACCAAGGTTAAGGTTCTTAGTAACTAACCCTCGAATAGGACACCCAGATCGCCAACCAGCTGGCTGTTCTCAACGCCGATTTCGCGCCCCACGACATTGCCTTCAACTTCCTGGGCACCGACCGCACCGTTAACTCGGGCTGGGCCCAGGATAGCAACGAGCTGGCCATGAAGACCGCTCTGCGCAAGGGAACCTACCGCAACCTCAACATCTACCTGCAGCCGCGCCTCAGCCAGAACGCTCTGGGATACGCCTACTTCCCCACGTCCGTCACCACCGGAAGCTCCGCCTACTACCGCGACGGTGTCTCCATCAAGTCGACCACCGTGCCCGGCGGCTCGCAGACCGGCTTCAATCTCGGAAAGACCGGTACCCACGAGGTCGGCCACTGGCTCGGTCTCTACCACACCTTCCAGGGCGGCTGCACCGGCAACGGCGACTTCATCTCTGATACCCCTGCTCAGGCCAGCTTCTCGTCCGGCTGCCCCATTGGTCGCGACTCTTGCCCCTCGCAGGCCGGCCTGGACCCTATCCACAACTACATGGACTACTCCGACGAGTAAGTGGACGATGAGATGAGAGTGGTGGTCCAAAGAACCAGACTAATGAGACTCTCTAGTGCTTGCTACGAGGAGTTCACTCCCCTTCAGAAGGCCCGCATGTTCAGCTTCTGGAACACCTACCGCGCTTAGACGGTTGAAGGTCTCATGAGGCTTGGTGTTATGCTGTAGACGATTGATGACGAGCGTTGTGAGCGATGATGTTAGTGGCGAAGCGTGGTGTTTGGCGTGTTGGTTTGGAGTGATGAACCCTGTGTGGGAGTTGTGGTGCATAGCGGAGAGAAGTCATCGAAGACGTTGACTCTAGTACATAAAATACAACCAAATGGTACTTACCTCGACCCGTTCGAGCTCTGAGATTGTCTTCGCTAAGTTATCTTGAATTGAAGTGTGTGGAAAACGGGGTTTTCTTTGGGCCGAGGTGTTCAATCCGAGTTTCTGAACAGCGCTTGCTTGGCACAAAAGATTTGAGGTGAGGTAAAGATTGACACCAGACGTGAACAAAAAGACAAAAGGAAATCATCTAGCAAGAGGCGGTTTCGATCCGCCGTCCTCCGGGTTATGAGCCCGGCGCGCTTCCGCTGCGCCATCTTGCTTTGTGTCGATGAAATGGAGAGAGAATCTTTGGATCATGAGGTCCACTGCATTATGGGGGACTGAGGCCAAAAAGGCACTGAAATTTGATACCCAGCAGGATGTGGTTTCTCCACTAACTCAAGGGTCGACGTGTGAGTCATATGCAGCGGGGCGAAGGACAAAAATGGAAGTCATAGCAAGAGGCGGTTTCGATCCGCCGTCCTCCGGGTTATGAGCCCGGCGCGCTTCCGCTGCGCCATCTTGCTTTAGAAGACGAAACTCAGTGACCGCGGTGCCGTAGTTGAGAGAGTTTGCCGTCGAAAGAGAAGGATGTCTTGAGGGGGTGGGTTGATAGTCTTGCTTGTTGTATGGTCTAAGAATTTGCTCTTTTTTGGGCTCTATGTTGCAAAGTTGCAGCCCGATGGATGCTCCAGGTAGGTAGGTAAGCTCTGTGCTTACCATGTGTCTAATCATGATACAGGAGACTAACGCCGGCCATGTCAAGGCAGAGTACTCTGGCGCGGTCGAACGAGGAAGGGTCGTGCCCAAGCTAGGACACCAATCATCTTTGCAGCACTGAGTGTTGCAAAAGCCCACTTGAGAGCCTCGGCACTGAAGATGGTCTCTACTTTCTGTGCCAGGACGGGGAAGAGTGCCCCAGAGGAGAAGCGGGCGACTGATAGCACCGCTGCGAAGGCCACTGCATTTTGTGGGCTTGCGTCCAGGACGAACGCACTGATGGACATCTGAACATTCGGGTGTGTTAGCATAGCTCGATGGTTCAGAAGAGTTCTGGTAGATCACTGACCGTAATGCAGAAGAGGCCCGCCCCCATGATGGTGTTTCCGAAGGCAGGGATAAGCCACATGAAGGCCATCTTTGTGCCCAGGGTGTAAATGGCCATACCCAGGGTGAAAAGCAGAATCGAGCCGCCGAGGAGGGGCAGGCGGTGTTCTGGCAGCCGGTCTTGCCCTCCAGCCAAGCTTTTCATAATCTTGTCGCTGAACAAACCGAAAGTCAACAGCCCCGCTACCATGCCGAAGCCCAGGGCAATGAAGATCCCCCCGGCGCTGCGGATGGAGAAGCCGTATGTTGCCTTATAGGTCAGAGGAATGTCGATGTAGAGCCAGACTTGGATGCAGTAGAAGTAGCTGCCAATAACCGTGGCGGCGAGGATGTCCATTCGAGGAAATGTCGTCAAGGTCTTTGTGACGGTCTGCCATAGAGTTTGCGGTATTTCTTCGACGAAGACGGAGGTCTCGTTCTTCTGAAGCAAAGTTGAGCCTTCAATATCGCGTGATGACAGGCCGCGGCGCTCGCGAATTGCCTCCAGGGATGTCTCGCGCATCCAGACAAGAGTCAAGATGGCATTGGCGGAGTTCTGACAAGTCAGCTAATGAGATGAAGATGGGAGCCAAGTCGAGATCGACAGCCTTTCAAGAACCCGCGCGGAGCGAAGATCAAGACGGAATTTGACTCACCACACATGCAAGCATGATGAAGCAGCCTCGCCAACCTACGGACTGTGCAACCAATCCGCCCAGGCTTGGGCCAAGAATCGGGCCGCATACGCCGCCAATTGCCATCAGTGCAAGCGCCTTACTTCGCTCCTCCTTCTGAAAGAGGTCCACGATGGTGGCGGGCCCGAGGGCCATCGGGGTAGATCCGGCGATGCCAGCCAGGAAGCGAAGAATGATCAAGACGTAGATAGACCCAGCGAAGGCGCATAACAGGTTCAGCAGCGCGAGGCACGCACTGCCGGTGCGGAAAATCGGCAGCCTGCCGATGCGCCCGCTCAAGGGCCATACCAGCAGGGGTCCAGCCGCGAAGCCAAAGATGTAGGCTGATACGGACAGATGGAGGAGAGAAGGGCGAGTGACAGCCAGATCATGCGATACTTGCTCAAGGGCGGGCGTGTACACCGCTGACGCGAGGGGTCTAAGAGGTGGGTGTAAGCGCGATATCCGGGAACGAGATGACCGAGATGTGCCACGGGTGCCTGGGTATGGAAAAGGGTAACACGGTAACACCCATCCCGCGCCAAGGTCGCTCTTTAGCGCGTGGGGGACTTGGGGAAGAATTGTTGCCGCTTGCCATCTTCTTTGTTGACAGCAGACACGTGGCCATGCGGTGATGGCTATGGCTTTTGGTGGCAGGGGCCGCAAGGTGCAGCGTGGGATGGATGAAACCTACGTGGCAAGGGCGAGCAGAGACACAGCAATGACCTGCCGCCATTTGCGGCGGTCAGCCCATCTCTTGGGGTCGAGGTCCGCGGTTGCGTAGTGATGGTCGTCGTCTTCTTCCGGGTCATCGTCAAGGATGTCGGCCGAGGCGGTGGCGTCTTCAGCTCGTTCCCCCGTCGCGCGGGAAGCGTCGCTGATCAGGGGCCGATGCCGCCGAAATGTCGGTGACGGTAGCGCAGATTGAGTCGCGCCATTTGGCATCGATGCCAGCTCCATTAGTAGCCTCGGTTAGGCGGTGCGCGGAGGGCAGCTGAGGGGAAAGCCCAGACTCGTCCGACAGTGCGACGGGATGGTTTAGCGGGCAAAGACGTGGTCAAAGAACCGAGCTCGAGGAGTGTCCGGGAAGATCGGGAATCGATGTCGAGAAAGCTGGAATGGAATCAGGACGACGAGAACACCACCTCTAGCTCAAGGGGCAAGACGGACACTCCCGCATCTTATACATCTCGTAGCTATACCGTTCGGAAGCAATCTTACTCCAGCAGCAATCTACAATAGAGCGAAGACGACGCGTCAACAGCACTTCTGTAACTTCAGGGTCATGCGCACGACTCAGGGGGGCCGTCGACCCCTATCACGAAAGCTGCCGAGTCTCACCCTACCCCAACTTCCGCTCCGGGGATCCCTGACTCCACTGGAGCTTCCGCTGGCGAGGGGAAGGGTTGCATGACATTCTAGACGACGCTACGCAAATAAAGTTCACCAGGACGTTGCAAGCCGGGGCCTGTTGAGACGCGACTGTGCCACTCGGGGGCGGTCGATGGCAAGACCGGCGGGCAGGCAACAGTCTTGGGGTTACAGGGTAGCTCGGCTCTTGCCGCGGGCGGTCTGATATCGGACGGATCAGGCGCCTCGAGTGGCGGTCCATGACTCTGCGGCGATGATGATCCGTCCTGTGTGATGGTACGGTAGTAGTTGAGGTGACGGCTTCGTGGGATGATCAGAGGAGGAAGTGGGGAGTTAAATAGGGACGGCGGTGCTGCGTTGGGTTGCCATTTGTTTCGGCCAGGGCTTTGCTCGTTTCGTGCTATTTCACTCGATCGTCTCCAGTGTTTCCTGCACCAAGCATTCGACAAGTTTGCTCGACTCGTCAAGGCTCGATTGTTGTCATGACTGACTCTTCGGAATACGACAAGGGGAATGCCTCACCCGTTGTTGCCGTCAGGGAAGGCAGCGAGGCCCTTTTTGATGGCACGGCGACTTTGACCGTCGACGGGGTCGTGGTTCTCATCCCGACCCCGTCGGTCGATCCTCAAGGTAAGAGCTCGCCACGATATCACCTCTTTTCGGGGATATGCTGACTTTCCCCAGATCCCTTGAACCTGCCGTGGTGGAGAAAAGTGTTCATCGTCCTCATCTTGACGACATGTAAGTTCTGGCCCCCGGCTCTGTCACCCCTGATTCTCCCACGCTCACCACATGTAGATGCCGTCTCTGGGTTGGCCCTCGTCAGCTCCCTCGGAGCCTTGATCGTCTACATGCAAGAAGACTACATTGCATCAGGCGTCAGTCCCCAGCAGATATCGAACCTCTTCACCTACCCCGGTCTCTTCCTAGGCATCGGTAACATCGTCTCCATGCCGCTGGCTGTGTCCATCGGCCGCCGTCCGGTCATTCTCATCTCCACCGTCATGTTGTTTGTGTCATGTGTCATCTGCGCTACCAACACCGGATATCACAGCCATTTGACGGGAAGGATGATTGCTGCATTCTCAGCAGCCCAGTGCCAAGCTCTTGTCCTCCTCATCATCCAGGTCAGCTTCCTTGGTTCATCCTTCACTGACAAGCGAGACAGCTAACCCCGTTTTAGGACGTCTTCTTCCTCCATCAGCGCGCCAGGGTCATCCAGTGCTACTCATCCGCCGAGATCGCTTTCAACTCTTCCCTGGTCATCGCCGCGTCGTACATGGCTGACGCCAGGGGCTGGCGCTCTGCCTATTGGCTTTTCGGTGCTCTCAGCTGCCTCTCCATGGTGCTCACCTTCATCTTCGTGCCCGAGACCTTCTACGAACGTCCCATCGAAGCTTTCATGGGAAATGCGCCTATGGATCTGTCCTCGCAGACACGCGACGCGGGCACCAAGCCCTACCACCTCCCAGATGCCGCGACCGAAGAGCTCAACCGTACATCTTCGACATCGCAGTGCCTGACAACAGCCGATGGGCGACCCCTGGACCTGGACACTTTCCAGCCTCGCACTTGGAAGTCAGACCTCCGAATCCTGACGCACAAGGTGCGGTTCAGCGAGTGCGTGCGCTGCCTCCGACAGATCGGTATCGTCTTCCTCTTCCCTCACGTCCTTTGGGTCGCCATCAACAATGGCATCTTCCAGGGCATCGACGTGTCCATCATGATGACTTACGCCACCGTCCTCACGAAGCCTCCGTACAACTGGCCGAATGCGACCGTGAGCCTAATCCAGCTCGGCCAGATCGCCGTGGCCGCCATCTCGCTACCGCTCATTGGAAGCATGGGCGACTGGATCATCCGCTTCGTCGCGCGCCGGAGAAAGGGCGTCCACGAGCCCGAGTATCGTCTTGTCACCATGATCCTGCCCCTCGTCGCGGCCATTGTGCTGACCGTCATCTACGGCTACGCCATCGCCGAGCCAGGTCGCTTCCACTGGTTCGCCATCGTTCTTACCGTCAACGCCTACCTGTTCATCCTGCTGTCGGCCTCGACGGCGGGCACTACGTACGTCATCGATTCGCATCCAAAGGACGCGGGCGCTTTGCTCGTCGTGCTGCCGGTGACGAGGGGTCTTGTTGGGTTCGGTATCAGCTTCCACACATCGGACTATCTCAGCAACATTGGGCCCGTGGCTACCTTTGGCATCTACGCCGGTGTGAGTGCTGTTGTTGGTGTTCTTGGAGTGCTCCTATTCTGGAAAGGCAAAGAGTTGCGACACTTCTGTGCAAGATACACTTCTTGAGTTGTGGTGGTAAGAGAATCTTCATCAAAGCCCCTCATGGTGTAGTTGGCTATCACGTTGGACTGTAATTGTTTATCTCTTTCATCTGAAG